CAAGCTGAAAACTGAAAAATACAGTGAAAAACACAGTCAAGAGAGATTAAAGATCTGAACAAGCAGAGACATATACCACCTCATGATCAGCAAGCCAAGGTGTCAATCTTCTCCAACTCATCTACAGAGTCAATGAAATGCCAATAAAAATCTCAGCACACAATACAGAAACTGACCAGGTCACCTGAATTTGCATGGAAATGGAAAGGACCTACAACAGCCAAAATAAGTCTGAAAAAAAAAAAAATTGGGAGGCTAAATAATACTACCTGCTTTTAAAGGATTATTTACAGTAATTAAAACAGTGTGGTTTTGTTGTCCAAACAGACTGACGTGGAAGAGATAGTCCAGGGACAAACCCACATACAGTCAGAGACAAAAGATTCTGACAAAGGCACAAAGGCAGTGCAGTGGGGAAGGGCAGGAGAGTCTATCTGACAAATGCTACTGAAACAACTGCGTATCTATTAATACATGTGCTGCGGGGGGAGGGGAAGAACTCTGCTTCACACCTCACACCACATACAAAAATTAATTAAAAGTGGACCACAGACCTAAAAAATGTAAAACCATGTAACTGGGACTTTCCTGGTAGTACAGTGGTTAAGAATCTGCCTGCCAACGCATGGGACACGGGTTTGATCTAGGTCTGGCAAGATCCCACATGCTGCAGAGCAACTAAGCCCTCAGGCGGTAACTACTGAGCCTAAAGTGCTACAGCTACTGAAGTCCATGCCCCTAGAGAAAAGTCCAAGCACCGCAACCAAGAGCAGCTCTGACTGAGCTTGAGTGCTGCAACTACTGAAGTCCACGCCCCAGGAGAAAGTCCACGCCACAACCAAGAGCAGCTCCCACTCGCCCCAGCTAGAGAAAGCCCGCGCACAGCGATGAATAGCTGGTGCAGCCAAAAATAAATTTTAAATTAAAAAAAAATACAACTTATGGAGTAGAAAACATTTGTGACCCTGGATTAAAAGATTTTGTAGGAACAACACTAAAAGCAAGGTCCATAACTCAACAATATAAAAGGTTTTAAACTTTTGCTTTTCAAAAGATACTATTAGGAGAACAAAAAGACAAGCTACAAACTGAAAGGATGTATTTGCAAGTTACATATTGATAAAGACTTCTGTCCAAGGAACTCTCAACTCAATAAATCAATCCAATTAAAAAATGGGCAAAAGACTTGAACAGACCCTTCACTGAAGAAACATACACACTTGAAAAGATGTTTGACACCATTAGTCACTAAGGAAATGTGAAGTAAATCCACAGGAAGATTCTACTAACAAACTTTTGGAATGGTTAACATCAAAAAGACTGATGGTATCAAGTGCCAGCAATGGTGTGGAGCAGCAGGAGCTGTGACTACTGCAAGTGGGCGTGCAAGGGGACAGCTATGAAACACAGCTCTATCATTTCTTTTTTTTTTTTCATTTATTTTTATTAGTTGAAGGCTAATTACTTTACAGCTCTATCATTTCTTAAAAAGATAAACCAATGCCTAGCGGATGACCCATCTACTCCATTCCTGGGTATTTACCCAAAAGGAATGAAAACATATGTACACACAAAGCCTTGTTTATAAATGTCTATTGTAGCCTTATTTGTAAGAGCCCCAACTGAAAACAATCCATATATTCATCAACAGGTGAATAAAAAAACAAACTATGATAGATAATGGAATGGAACAGTACGGGGTCCAAAAAGTAAAGGCCCCAAAATGTTATCACTTGAATGAATCTCAAAACAAGTAAGTAAAAAAGCCTCACAAAAAGAGCACATACTGTAAAACTCTCTTTATATACAATCCCAGACTAAAGTGCAGTGACAGAAAGCAGATGAGTGGTTGGCTGGGGCAGGGTGTGGGCAGGGGGAAGGGCACAGGCAGTCTCCGTGGTAGCGGGCACGACTCTGACATGACGGGAGATGGTTTCTCAGCTGTCTTCCCAGCAAGTCCAACTGGAAGAATCAGCCAGCCAGTTCTAGAATGATCTGAATACTGCTTCAAGCTAAGGAAAATAACGCTTACAGAAAGCAAGGATATTCCAAACATGATGTTTACTGTACACCAGTGGTACCTCATTAGTGCTCTACACCCCTGAAGTTGGCAGGTGTGAAATGGCCATCCAGGAGCTCGATTGCAGCGCTGTGGGGCCAGAGAGGCCCCTGCAAGTCTGAAACCGTGAATGGAAAACGAGACCACTCTACACTGCAACACTTGTCTTCTTCAGCCACATCTGTCTATCTGCTCAGGAACAGACGCAGAGTAGGTAGAGAATTACATTTAAACAAGTCAGAGGCATCTGCTAAGCAACTGTGAAGGAAGTTAGATGCAAGGAAGTAGCTGAAATGATGGTCTATGTAATCTAGGCAGAGTGAGGAGGGCAGTGAGGGGCCAGGCACATGGTCACAAAGGTCAGCAGCAACTGTGCATACAAGGTCTTTCTGGGTTCCCTTCTAGGGGAAAATAAATATTTAACGTCAAACACTTACACAGTAATTAAGAACCTTTCATACGTAACCCTACAGCTGGTGGTAAGAAAGGGAGGGCAGGCTTTCTCAGTCATGCAACCTTCTCTAGACAGTGACATGGGGGTCTGAACACGGTCCTTGTGCAGCCGCTCTTGCACTCACACTTGCCCATCTCACCATTAATAACAAGCGTGCGACCTATTCCTCAAGTCTGCTGGGGTCTTAAAACTGTCTGGTCTTAAGTGCTCGGGCCTGGTGCACTGGGAAGACCCAGAGGGATCGGGTAGAGAGGGAGGATCGGGATGGGGAATACATGTAACTCCATGGCTGATTCATGTCAATGTATGACAAAATCCACTACAATATTGTAAAGTAATTAGCCTCCAACTAATAAAAATAAATGAAAAAAAAATTTAAAAAACTCTAAAAAAAAAATACTGTCTGGTCTTTTAGATTAAGGCAGAAACAAAATCAGAGGTGAGCAACTACTGTCCCATTACTTACAGAAATTCCTATGCTGGCCCACACCCTGGACCCCAAAAGAGAACTCCCTTCTTTTTCTTCTGAAACCCTTTAAATACCCCTTTCACAAAGAACCACCTCCTCCTGAGTTTGACTCAATTTCAACATGAACGTTTCCTGTCTGCACTTCTCCCAGCGCTTCACTTTCTCGTCAGTCTCGTCTTCTCCTACTCAAATCTGACCTGCCTTTCAGGAACTGTTTGGGTCTTACATTTCCCTGAGGCCTTCAGACCAGCACCCCTCACCTCGGTATCAGCACGAGAGTCAGTTTACAAAAGAATCAAAGAAACCCGTGAAAGGTACATTATTTAGGGACAGGTTTAACAAGCAGAACTTTTAAAGTACATCAATGTCTAAATAGGGTGACAGTAGCCACTGATAGTATCTTTGTGCACAGAGGAGTGGACAGGAAACTGCCTGGGGCTCTGATGGTGAGCTGGGACCACCAGCTCACTCCAGCCCCTCGTGCTCTGGCCTACTCTCCACTAGTGTGGAGAAGCCATTGCAGTGGGGGAAGTGGGTGGGGTGCACACATTTAGAGGGAATGGAACCGGCTCGAACCCAATCCTCAAGGCTTCTGCTTCAGCACTGATGACAGAGGAGTATGTTTCAAATGAAAGGGAGAAAAAACTAATGAAATAGAGATAAATACCAGATTAAAAAAATCGAAGTATTATTAATAAGAATGCTAACTGAAGCTGGGAAAGGAATACATGAACACAGTGAGAACTTTAACAAGAAACTAGGAAATAATTTTTAAAAAAGAACCAGTCAGAGCTGAAGAATACAATAACGGAAATGAAAAACAGTGTAAGGACTGAAAGCAGATCAGGTAACACAGAAGAACTCACAAGTGATCAGGAAGACAGAATAACGGAAACCACCCAACAAGAACAGCAAAGAACCGCTTCGGATATTTTTTTTAAATGAGGATAGTTTAAGGGGCCTCTGGGACAACATCAAGTATACTAAAATCACATTACAGAGGTTCCAGAAAAAGGAGAGACAGAGAAGAGGGTAAAATATGTATCTGATGAAATTATGGCTGGAAACTTCCCAAAGCTGACGAAGGAAACAGATATCCAAGAACAGGAAGCATGGAGGGTCCCATTCCAAACCAGATGGAACTCAGAGACCCACACCAAGACATGTCATAATTAAAATGGCAAAAGTTACAGATAAAGAGGATTCTAAAGGAAGCAAGAGAAAAACAAGGAGTTATAATCAAGGGAACCCCCATAAGGCCATCAACTGATTTTTCAGCAGAAACTCTGCAGGCCAGAAGGGAGTGGCAGGATATATATCAAGGGCTGAAAGGTAAAAACTTGCAACCTCCATTACTCTACCCAGCAAGACAATCATTTGGAATTGAAGAAAAGATTAAAGCGCTTCTCAGACATGAAGAAACTGAAAGAATTCATCAATACCAAATCTGCGCTGAAGAAATGTTGAAGGGTCTTCTAGAAGTGGAAAAGAAGAACCTATAGGAAAGGGAAATCCCACTAGGAAAGGCAGACACATAGCAAGGACCGAAGATTATTTATGTAAGTCAGTATACAGATTAAAATACAAACTGTAGAAGCAACTATAACTACAAGTCATATACAGATTAAAATATAAATCTGTACAAGCAACTACAACTATATACAATTAAGGGAGAGATAAGAATATGCAAAATGACATAAAAAAACAAGATGTGGGGGAAGGGAGTAAAAAGACACATCTTTTAGAATGTGTCTGAGCTTACATGACTATCAGTTATTTCTATTAACAAGTAGATAAAGTTACAGGTCAACATATATGAGGAACACTGTAACCACAAATCTAAAAACCTACAATAGCTACACAGAAGCTAGAGAGAAAAGAACACAAGCATGCCACCAAAGAAATCATCAAACCACAAGGGAAGAAACAAAAAAGAGGAAGAAATGAACAAAGAACTAAAAGTGCAACATAAAGAAGCCCATACTCTATATGAAAATGAAATCATACAACAGCTTTACCTGTCTCACTACTTTCAGGCGGTGACTCATACTCTGAGTGGTCCAGACCCAAAGTGCTCATGGCTGTCTGGTCTGACTCCTGTAGATCTGACAGCGCGACATTCTCATGACTTTTGTCACCATCACCGTTGGTGTCCAATCCTGTAATTAAGAATTTCACCCCAAGAGGAAGGGTTAGAAGAACAGCTTTTTCTTAAAACAAAGATTTACACCTGCAGTTACTGACCTTTTCAACTTGACTGTGAGGGACCTCAGGGTTTGTAAATACTGTCACCAACCATGACACAGATTTTAAATAGTTTCCCAAAGGTGAACTCAAAGGAAACAAGGCTGCAGCCCAGAGCAGAGGCCCAGCCCCGCCCACTCACCGAGGTGGCCACGGCCAGGCGGCGCCTCCCAGACTGTGCTCACGCCGCCATCTGCAGCTCCACGCGGTTCCAGCTGTAACAGTGGAGTGCCCCATACTTTTGCATTAGGGTTTAGCTCCGAAACCTTGGCTGTTGGTACCTAAGAAAAAACGTGATGTGTTTATTTGTATCCAAATTCCAATCACTGTAATTTTACTTACTAATTTAGAGTTAAAACACATCCATGCTAGAGAATTTGTGTGAAAAGGGTTGAACCTATTTACACATACTTTTAGGGAGAAATGAGATGCAAAAGTGATCGAAGTTGATGCACTCAGAACTCCACTCACCAGATGTTCATTTCTTACCAAGTGAACAGCTCTCAAGAAATGGGAATGAGAGTCTTGCCTTCATGGGGTATCTGATCAACTTTTTTCAACTGGTAACTCAGTTATTTCTCTGGTCCAGACTACCCAACACAACTCACAGATTTGCAAATCTGAGAACTGATGTTCTTGAACACTGCTAAAGGTTAAAGGCTGCAGAAAATGAAAGAGTCATGGTGGGGAGGCGCCAGATGCGGACAGCCTGTGACAGTGCCCATTTCCAATCACATGGCCCTCAGGCTGTTCCAAACATACTGGCCCTCGACTCTCTGGGCTCATTTGTCAGAACACTCCCAGATGTCTGCTCGGCTGGCTCACACCTTTGCGTCCCTTGGGGACTGCTGAGGTCTTTCCTGGCACACCTCACTAAACCCACACCACCCTTGAATTTTCTCTCTCCTGCTTACAAACCCTGAAGAGTCCCCCAAATCTTATGTCCTGGGGCAGCCACCCCAATTTCTAAGCAAGCCTGGACACGACCTGCATTCTCCAGGGGCTGTACGTCACGACTCCACCAAGCAGGGCCAGGGCTGCAAAAGGGGAACAGGCTGGGTCCCAGGAGCCCAGGCAGCAGTTCCACACTGGGAGCAGCCTCTTGGCACCACCCAGAGAGGCCGTCTCTAAGGCCAGTGCACTGTGATGAGCCAAGTAGGAAGCAACGTATGGGTTAACAACCTTTTTTTAAAAAAAAAAAAAACATAATAAATTCACTCTAGCTGGGGTGATTAACACTTACAGTGAAAAAACTATTTGTGAAACTAAGGTAGAGGGCTGATGTGGATAGTTATAGAGTATCCTCTGTCCATACCTTGAGGCATGGACAATAAACATCACGCCCAGAACCAGGCACCTACATGAGGGCTGATCTGGAGTCCTTCTAAATTTTAAGTACCAGACAGGGCAAAGAAGAGGGTACCCCTTCTCCTTCAAGAATGTTTCCCTCAAGAAGCACTGAGGGAGCACATAAGCTCCCTTCTTATGTGACATCTGAACTCCCAGCTCATTGCTGGACTCTGCTCCTGCATGTCGACCTGTGTCTTCAACACACACACTTCTGACGTCCTCAGTGAGTGCCGGGCACAGCACAAGGTGGTCCGAAAACAAGGCAGACAGGACTGCACGGAGCACAGTAACAGACGACCCCCAACCTCATGGGCACCACTGCCCTCCTCAGCAGGTACACCTTTTCTCTCTGCTCTCTTTTTTTTCGAATTCACGCCTTTATTCTTTCCTATACTAATACTCTCATAACCCACCTCTTCTCGTTACACCCAGCCTCGTTCTCCCAACGTAACATGCATCAAGTTTTCCACCCACGGAACAGACCCCTGACCTCATTGACACACTATACATTCTCTAAATTCCTAACTCCAACCTATAATTTGCACAAGGTCTTCCTTGTTTTTAGCACCACCTGCAGTTGGCTATACTGCATCACCAACACACATTTTACAGCTCGCTCACACACACACACACACACACCCCGAGTCCTGGAAGCACAATGCCCACAAACAGCATCCTGAGAGCCACGCAGGCCTCGGGCTCCTCCCCCTCTGCTCACCCACAAGGCATGTCCTGTCCTCCCCATAGGCTCCCGGGTGTCCACCCTGGGCACACTCTAAGGCACACACACTCTGGGCACACTGACACCTGCAGTCCTGAACCCAGTAGGGAGTTGCCCGAGAAACATGTGGAAGGAACGAATGTTTCATGATGTAATAACATAAAATTCTACTTTCTACTATTTGACAACTTGTGCAAGGTTTTATGCCACAGCTGACTGGAACACTACCCATGCACAACTGACTACTTCTACAGTAGGAAACACTCAAATCCAAATCAGGCATCAGGGGCATCACACAATCTCCCGCAGTCAGTCAGGATTCAAGGGATATTCTGAGGTATGACGGGGATGCAAGAATGGAGATGTGACAGCCAGCTGGGTGCCAGGCACACCCCACGCACACACCTGAGTTGAGTCATGACAGCCCCATGACACAAGTAAGGAAACCAAGGCAGAGGATGGTTAACTAACTCACTCACAAAAATGATCCTAATTAGAAAACTGTGTTTTAATATCAAGAAAACAAAACATTTATCAAGAGCTCATTAACTTCTTGTAACTCACATGAGAAACAACTTGTACTAAACACATTTCTTCAAAATGCAGCTATTTTCCTGCAGTCACAGGGACCTCCAACTGATTATCAACAACTCAAGTTTCATCTGTGTGGCTTCCTAAGTCTTATTTTTCCCCTGAAAAATCATGGCCAAGCAATAGTTGGTAGAACTAGCAGTGAGCTGACCTTAATGGCCACATTCTGATGCCATTCTACACAAATGACCCATGTTACTCTTTGAAGAGTGCAGTATCCCCAAATTTTGACACTCAAAGAAACACTACCCTCAGTGCTATGCTCCATTAACAAAAATAAATAACCTACCAACTCACAGACTTACATCTTTTGGCCAGGAAAGAAAACCATCCCACTGACAAGTTAGTGATTGGGAACCAGAACACCGAGTATCAGAGGAGGGGGAGGCAGATGGAGAATGTAAGACAGGTGAGACATGGAAGGGAAAGAAGTGTCTGTTTTCTAAAGTTTAAGTGAGCCTGGACTAGTCCTGGATTGGCACTAAGTTTAGCAACTCAGAGCAATTCAAAGGCTTCACAATCATCATGACATCTATAACTCTGGCTTGTTACCTGTAAAACAGCATAATAGCGGCTATCTATAGCTTAGTGAGATGTCTGCACAGGCACTTTGAGGACCAGAGTTTTGAATAAAAAGCAGTACCAGTAAGTGTAGTGTGTCAGGTGAGCACACTGCCAGGCACAAGGCGCAGCTGACAGCTAACTCAGCAGTGCACATGCACCTCACCCTCCTGTGCCAAGAGCAGGAGCTGTGTGTGCTCCACCTGAGGGACAGGTGTGGACAGCTGGGGCCAGCTGTGGGCTGCATCCACTGAGGGAAGCGGTTAAGTGGTGCTCGCCTCCAGAACTACTGCAGGAATAAAACTGATTAACCAGAACATAACTGTTTTGAGAAAAACTTCCAAATCTGAGCATGGAATGGAAAGAAAGGAGGTTAGTGGATAAATTATAAAATTTAATTTCTACTTGCTTGTTTCCATATAATAGCCATAATATTTCAGCCACACCTATCTGTTCACTATTACTATTTCTCTTGCCTAATACAACAAAAACCACTAAAAATAAACTGATTGAATGAACGCAATTTTGCTACTACAAGTATACACATTCAAAGGACAGCATCAAGAACAAGACTAACTTGCTGTTTCTTGAATGTTTGCATTTATTACAGAAATTCTAGGAAGATGCAGTGCAGGATCACATGCTGGTTTGGTTCTCCCAAACCAGTGGGGCCTGAGCGGTGAGGTTCCCAGAGCCCTGCAAGTGCTTCTGATGAGAAGAGAGAACTGACATCCTGGAGCCAGTTAAAAGTGCCAAGTGTACCTCCCTGGACGGCTGCCATGCAAAAGCAGTAGAAAGCAGAGATTTCAACTCCTCTGTGTTCTCCAAGTGTAACCTTCTGCAGTGATTTTAAACACCCAATGGGCCAAATCTGTGTTCCACTCCACAGGGAGCCAGTGGAGCGGATAGGATGGATGAAGACAGGGTGCGGTAGCCTCCACAAACAGCCATGCCTGATGACCTGTACCACAGGCATTAGTGCTCCAAGTCCACATGTAGATTCTAGCTTCAATATACTAGGAACCAAATTCACACTCTGCAGTTTGGAAATGGTTAAACTGATGCTATACTAATTTCGTTTTATAACAACATTGAAACAACTAACAATTGTTTAGAATAAATCTTTGTTAATTCCAAGTTAAAAAGCAAAATGAAAGATTAGCACATCACAGCAATAAAAACTGATACGTATACTTACTAAGTGTGCACCTGTCTCTTGCCATCCCCAAATGACTGTATCTTCTGCCACTGGTAGCTGAAAAGGAGGCTTTTCCATCCAAAACAAAGACATCTCCAGGTCCTGGGGCTTACAGTGCAGGTCCTCACTAAAGATCTGCTCATCTTCTAAGGTATCCTTCGTGACTGTATCAGTCCATGGACAGCCCGCTTGATATCTGCAACCATCTGCCGGTCCCTCAGAAAACATCTGACTTGCCAGCTCCGCCATCGGGTAGCAGGAAAGTGCACTCAGAAACTGGGGGTGCTGCTGCCCTGGGGGGCTCCGCAAATCCCCCTCAGACAGCTCTTCAGACACAAGCGACAGAGCAGGGTACTCACAATCTGGGATGGCCACCTCCCCGCAGTCACCTGGGACGACAGGAATCCCCTGCAACCCGTCCACTTGGGCAGGGTAAACACCAGTCACGCAGGAGCACCCTGCACGATAAACCCCTAACTCCACTCTTTCAGAGACTACCAAACCCATGTCCCCTTGTAATGCAGGTCCTTGCACCGTGGGCCTGGCACCCCTCTGGCTGAAAGGGCATGAGTGTGCGCTTGTTCCACACAGGCCTGCGTGGCTGGCAGTGCCGGAACCGCCACTGCCTTCCTGCAGATGCAGCACCTCCTCCTCTTCTCCACCCATCAGCTCTGGTTCTCTCAGCCCTGATGCTCGCCCACCAGAGGCCTCAGGAGCATCTCTGGCTGACTGGGAGAGAACCTGCTTCGGCAAAGGGCTGCCACCATTGTACACAGGGCTCACCCGCACGTTTTCCAAGTCCTGCAAGCCTGGGGCCGAACTCTGGCTTACAGGTGGTGCAAGGCCGAGCTCCTCATGAC